CTTCCAGGTCTCTCACCACTGTGGGTTTTCCTTTTTTTGTCATAGGGTTGCTGGCAGATTACGGGCCTCCCATAGTTTGCCGGGCCCCCAAATCTGCCAGGGGCCCCCTGTACCGCCTCCTCCTTGCTGCGGCCAGGTCACAGTGTTCTCGCCGGTGCCCACTTTTAGGTCTCCGCACACTGCCTGGTGTGTTCATTTTTGTCATAGAGGTGCGGCAGATTTACGGGCCTCCCATTGCTGCTGCCAGGCCCCTTATATCATGCCATGGGCCCCTGTTACAGCACTCTTCATGCTGCTGCCAGGTTTCATGAGTGTTGTCATGGGCTCCCTGTACGGCCTCCCATTGCCTGCTGCCAGGAAGGCAGGCAGGGTCGCACGCCAGTGTGATCAGCTGGAGGCAAAACGGCCATCGGAGTAGCATGCCACCAGCTCCACTGCAGTCCTACCACCACGGCCAGGTAGTGGGTTATCCGGATGTGCACGGAGGAAGTAGCCAGTCAGCCAGTGAGGAGTAGCGGGGGGCAAAGTTTCCTACTCGGCGGTTAGTGGCAATTTTTCGTCAAGCGCGTTCCGAGGAAGTAACGTAGCGTATGTCGACTATGTGGCCAGAAAGTCAAGCGTATGGCTTGGGGGCCCATGTTGGGACTACAGCGTTGCCGTTCAGCATATGCAGCGGTTCGCCATTCGGTGGCCCTGGGAAAAACCGTGATAAAGATACGGCGGTTCTGCCTGCCCCAGCCCAGGGTTCCTTTTTGTCATAAGGTGCTGGCAGATTACGGGCCATCCCATTGCTGCTGCCAGGCCTTAATCTGCTCATGGGCTCCTGTTACCGCTCTCCTCATGCTGCTTGCAGGTCCACAGTGTTCATGGGTCCCTGAACCGCCTCCCCATTGCTGCTGTCTCCATCGCCACACTCTGCCATGTGCCACTTTCAGGTCTCCTCACACTGCTGGTGTGTTAAATTTTTTTGCCATAGGGTGTGGCAGATTACGGGCCTTCCCATTGCTGCTGCCAGGCCCGTAATCTGCCATGGGCCCCATGTACCGCCTACCTCATGCTGCTGCAGGTCCACAGTCTCATCATGGGTCCCTGTACGGCCCTCCATTGCTGCTGTCTCCATCGCCACACTCTGCATGTGCCACTTTCAGGTACTCCTCACACTGCTGGTGTGTTAATTTTTTGTCATAGGGTGCTGGCAGATTACGGGACTCCCATTGCTGCTGCCAGGCCCGTAATCTGCCATGGGCCCCCGTTCTCCGCCTCCTCATGCTGCTGCCAGGTCCACAGTCTCTCATGGGTCCCTGTACGGCCTCCCATTGCTGCTGTCTCCATCGCCACACTCTGCCATGTGCCACTTTCAGGTGTCTCTTCACACTGCTGGTGGGGTTCCATTTTTTGTCATTAGGGTGCTGGGCAGATTACGGGCCTCCCATAGCTGCTGCCAGGCCCATAATCTGCCATGGGCCCCTGTACCGCCTCCTCATGCTGCTGCCAGGTCCAGGAGTCTCTCACATGGGTCCTGTACGGGCTCCCCATTGCTTCTGTCTCAGCATCGCCAACACTCTGCCCATGTGCCACTTTCAGGTCTCCTCACAACACTGCTGGTGGGTTCCATTTTTGTCATAGGGTGCTGGCAGATTACGGGCCTCCCATTGCTGCTGCCAGGCCCGTAATCTGCATGGGCCCCCGTACCGACTCCTCATGCTGCTGCCAAGGCCCGTAATCTGTCATGGGCCCTGTTGTCAGCTTGTTGGCATATTCCGCTCGTTCAGATGCTCCTTCTCCTGCTACTCCTCTTCACGGATTCCGTCAGCAGTCTTTCTTGGAATCCGTTTCCAAGAGACAACAGTTTGCGAGCACGCACCCGTCGGTGCAGAAGCTGAACGTCCCTCCTGTCCAAGTTGCTTCTGCCAGGCTCGTAATCTGTCATGCGCCCCTGTACCGCCTCCTCATGCTGCTTGCCAGGTCCAGAGTGTGTCATGGGCCCCCGTACCGACTCCTCATTCTGCTGCCAGGCCCGTAATCTGTCATGGGACCCTGTACCGCCCTCCTCATGCTGCTGCCAGGGCCAGAGTGTGTCATGGGTCCCTGTACGGCCTTCCATTGCTGCTGCCAGGCCCGTAATCTGCCATGGGCCCCGTACCAAACTCCTCATGCTGCTGCCAGGCCCGTAATCTGTCATGGGCCCCTGTACCGCCTCCTCATGCTGCTGCCAGGTCCAGAGTGTGTCATGGGTCCCTGTACGGCCTCCCATTGCTGCTGTCTCCATCGCCACACTCTGCCATGTGCCACTTTCAGGTCTCCTCACACTGCTGGTGGGTTCCATTTTGTCATAGAGTGCTGTATGGCCTCCCATTGCTGCTGCCTCCACCGCCACACTGTGGCTCCACACTCTGGTTTTGGCCCCGTGACTGCCCAAATGAGTGAAGTGTGCGGTGATTCTAAGATCGACGGCACTCATCTGCATGTCATACTGACTGTCAGTATTATTTCTCTTCCCAGCAGACTCCAAGGGCATTTAAATTAAAGGTACAGTGTTCTGCACTAATATAAAGGCTCTCTGAAGCCTAGAAAACACCCTTTTATAAGTTAAATTCGCAGCGAATATATTCGACTCGAATCGAAATTTTTCCACGAATTCGCCGAATCAGTCGAATCGAATTTTTGAATACTTCGCTCATCTCTAAATATAATAATAATAAATTTAATTCAATAATATAATCAAACCATAAACACTGAAATTTGAAATGGAGCGCCAAGTTCGTACATCACTGAGCAAAGTCGCAAAATCGTTTTCAGTGTCTGATGACGAATTTCCCCACGAATCATTATCACTCAATTCTGCAAGTGGTTCTGATTTACTAGGCAGAAAGAACAGGAAAAATGCAGGCAGGGCACAGGACAAAGCACTCAGGACAAAATGTATGTGAAATGGTTTGAAACAGTAATGTTTTACTATGTGATTTTAGTGAATTTAGTGAATGTCACTTTTAAAATTTTAAAATTTACCGCTTGCGGTGCTGAAACTTTACACCGAGCTACACTTGGGAATACCTCCAGGGAGGTTAACAGAAATAGCGATACTACATCCATCTCCAAAGCACAGTTCTAAAGTGCTATCCATCTAAATTGTTAGCAGATACTTACTGAAATTTTTCTTTCTTGGACTATTGACAGGAAGGGCATGAAGGTAGAAAAGATGGCTCCCCTGGGCGGACTACTTTAACCATTTCCATACCGGGCACTTTTACCCCATTCCTGCCCAGGCCATTTTTCAGGTTTCAGCGCTCTCACACTTTGAATGACAATTGTGTGGTCATACAACATTTTCCCCAAACTGAAATTTTATCATTTTCTTCACACAACTAGAGCTTTCTTTTGGTGGTAATTAATCACCGCCGGGGTTTTTATTTTTTGCTAAATTAACAAAAAAAATGCTGAAAAGTTTGAAAAAAAAACCACGTTTTTCTTTGTTTCTGTTATAAAAGTTTGCAAGTAAATAAGTGTTCTTCATAAATTTAGGCCAAGCTGTATTCTACTACATGTCTTTGGTGAAAATAACCCAAATTAGGATGTATTTTTTAGTTTGTAGGAAAGTTATAAAGTTCACAAACTATGATATAGATCTGAATATTGATCAATCCTGAAGTACTGACAGCCAATCTAATTTCTTGAGGTCCAAGAATGTCAGTACAGATATCCCCCAATGACCCCTTTTTGCAAAGTAGACAGTCCAACATACTTCATAAGAGGCATGGCAAGTTTTTTGAAGTTGTATTTTTTTTGTCATAATTTTTCATAAAAGGAAAAAATGTAAAAAATTATTTTCACTTTTTTTTTTTACATACTGTCACCAGTGCAGTACAGCATCATCATATAACTGGCATGGTGGTGATCAGGGACACTGACTGGTGACAGTATGAAAAAAAAATATATATTTTTTTTTTTATTTTTTATTATTTTTAATTTTTTATTAAATTTTTTTTCTTTTTTTTTAAGATTAGTTTTTCGTATTTCACTATGACCAAAGTAGTACAATGTTACCATAGTAACATTGTACTACTTTGGGGAAGTGATCAGTATTTTTTTTTTACACAATTTGCTGATAGCAAAGAATTACTTTGCTATAAGCAAGCATTTACCTGAATGACATCGATTCATGCCAGGTTTTTTTTTTTTTTTGTGCTTAGCTGTAATTTGGCCACAGCTAACCACATGACATGTGCATGTGATTGCTGTGACCATTCACAGCTAGATACTAGTATACAATGGATGGCAGGAATGAAGCCATCCATTGTATACAACTGTCATGTGACCAGTTGTGATTGGTCACAGCAGGTCACATGGTTACCGGCAACGGGGGTCGGTACTCAGATCTGTCATCAGCCATGTCCGAGGTACATGGCCGGTGACAGATCACGCCGCTGCGCGGCTCTGCAAGAGCGCAAACTGTGCATGCCCAGGAGTACGCCATATGGCATCCACCCAGAAATCTAATGCATTTTTCTGGCCGCCAAACGGCTATTGGCCGAGTGGCTAATGGTTAACTTATCACAGGTTAATTCACATTCCTTCTCATGCATATAGAAGACGGGCACATGCTCATGCATATACCTGCCCACATAGCCGCGCACTCACGCACACTTGACATGTGACAGATGATGGTGCTAAATGGGCTATTTAAATGGAGTCAGTGATCAGGTTCAGTGCTGCTTTGTCTACAGTTTTCTGTGTGTCCAGAGGCTTTGTGATTCTGTATCCTGATTTCAGTTGCTGACCCGGTTCCTCCTGACTACTCCTTGAACTCTGCCTGTACTGACCTCAGCTTGTCTTTTGTTCTGTATATCATCATTGTATTGAGTAGGAAGCCATCTTTTGGGTGTTCACTGCAACTGTACCTGTTTTTATAATTCCTTTCAACAAGAACAGAAAGTGTCTCATGTTTGTTAAGAATAAAGATTTCCCATAAACCACTGTAACCTTTTTAGCTTCCTGAAGAACACCAATGAAGGTCTCTTCCATTCTCCCTTTGATACACATGATGTGCCTGTAAGTTCTTTCATTGTGTTTGTTAAAGACACATACATAGCTCCATCACATTTAAATGTATTCAATGTGATTTGTAGGTAGCTGTATGTAAGAAATGTATTCATTGTATGTATTTGTGAGAGACATGTATACAAAGATATTGTAATTTAAATTTTCAATTTATGTGATTGTATTGCAGTTCTACAGAACTATTCACAGAAGTAAATTCAGTTTTGGAATGAAACACAATGCTGCTTCTGTTTGTTTTGTTAGCTAGCTGTTGGCTAACTGCTAGTAAGACAGTACAGTAAAAGGGACGTAAAAGGGTATATGTATACAGGCAAATACAAGGGAGCTTCACAAGTGAAAAGGTATATGCATACAGAGGAAAACAAGGGAGCTTAAAGTGGTTTTATAGGCTCAAGGTTTTTTACCTTCATGCATTCTATGCATGAAGGTAAAAAACCTTCTGTGTGCAGCATCACCCCCAGCCCCCCCCCCCCCCCCCCAATACTGACCTAAGTTCCCCCTCAATCCAACGATGTACACTGGCATTTTGGCTATCACGGGACTCCCTCTTCGCATTGCCTGAGACAGAAGAGGGAGCTATTTGCTCCCTCTGCTGTCAATGATCCAATCAGAAGAGAGAGAGGGCAGGGCCAAGCCGTGGCTCCATGTGTGAATGGACACACAGGGAAGCGGGTGCCCCCATAGCAAGCTGCTTGCTTTGGGGGCACCCAACAGGAGGGAGGAGCCAGGAGAGTCTGCAGGGGACCCAAGAAGAGGAGGATCCAGGCTGCTCTATGCAAAACCACTGCACACAGCAAGTAAGTATAGACATGTTTGTTATTTTTCCCTTATAAAAATAAGCCTTTAGAATCACTTTAACAGTAAAAATGCATCAGTATATCAGCGAAGATAAAGGAGCTTTATTTGAA